GTTGAGATGCTCAAAGCAACGCAAATCAGAGCCGTGACGAATTTCGAGCACTTGAACGTGCAATTGCCTTTGGTTTTCGGTTGGCTTCAAGTGTCGTCGGATCACGCAATTTCCGTTTTGTAATTGGAGCGTGCAAAATGTTTGGCAATAAAGCAACTTGGACATAGAGATCGGTTCTCGGTTGCATAAAGAGAGTTAAAATATATCTTTCAATTTCAATTTTTCTTTTAAAAGAAACCCACCTGGTACTCAGGATGCAGAATTCTTCAAAAATTTTCGTACTTTTAAAAAACATCTCTCTGCCATTCATAGTAAAGATGCAGAAAAACAGAAAGATTTCTATTTCGATTCCAACGTATGCATAATGTTTGGGTTAAAGACCTATACATGTAGTCATGTTTACACTTCGCCAATATCAAATAATCTGTCAAAAATGACAGTTAGCTGACTGTTGTTTGCTTTGGGGGCTAAGCCTCCTCATATCAAATGCCATACTCCAGCTACGCCAAAAAGAATGAGAGAGATAAAATGGCTTTATCTAGGATCTCTGCCCTGAACGGATGAAACTGATGAAACTGACCTTATCCAACAAAGATTACATTTGGATTAAACTTTTCAATTTTAGTCGAACATTTTCAAGAAGAAAAGAATCGCACATCGATCATGCTGCATTATTTATAACAGGCCGCTTTTTATGACGCGAACCGGACACACCCAGGCGGAAGTAAATTTTTGACCATGAAATGTGCGGAGTGTGGTAAAACAAGACGAAACTTAAAATTTCCTTGCGCAAATCGCTAATTGCCAAATAGGTTTTTACCCAGATAAACTGTTCCCAGCCCTAGCCCTCTATTTTTCTCGGGTATCAGAATACCTTAGCCTGCGAACAAGCTCTGCATCTGGGGGAGTCGCGCGACGTCACGACGCGAGAGAAGGCGCGAGGGCGAGGGGGTTCTCCGCTCACTCGTGCGTTGCAAGCGTCCTCTACTGCGGAACGTGTGAGTGGGTGGGGGTCACGAAACAATTAAAGCCACTCAATGGGCAAACCCTCGGAAGACATGCAATGAGCATCCATTTAGGTCAACTCAGGAGCCGATTACTGGATAGGTCAACTTCGATGAATTGAGCGAACTGAGAGAATTAAATGAACTAAAAGGATAAAGTGAAATAAAGTGAATAGACCTGAATAGGCAGACCAATTCCGGTAGTATTAAAATTCACACATGGAGTGCAAGGCTTGGGGGAATAAAACAAAAGAACTTGAGACTCAGCAATGAATAATACATTTTTATTGTTGGTTTTCACATGACGTGACTAAAATTCAAACCAAAAAACTATCGATCCTACCGAGATTTTACTTTCACGATGCATTACGTGGCATTGGAGCAGCTGAAAACTAATTTTCATAAAAATTTTCGCTTCAATAGGGCTCTTGGTTTTGTCAGTAGATAGCCTGAGCCAGGCTCTCAGATAGTATCGTGCGGACGTATTAAAAATAAGACGCGAAATAAATTTGAACGCGTCTTATCTTCCATGCAGGACTATGCGTCCAAACTTTTCAATCCCTACCTGGTCTAATTAAAACTTGAACTAGTTTTGCGTCTTTCTCCAAACAGACCTTCAATATTTAAAAAGAGCGAAGTAAAAATGTAGTAATGTAATAGGCCACTTGCACTAAGAGGTCATATGACCAATGCTTCCTTTAAACAATGAGTTGGAATCTTGCTGATGCCAAAAATCGACGGAGCGCATAAAAATTATCTTGCACCCGAAATTTGAGAGGAAACGCATTTAAGGGAGATATTTTATAGCTCTTTGGTTTTTCAACAAAATAGTATGATTTGTATTGGCCGCCATGTTGGAGGGCATAGTCTAGCCCTCCAACATGGTGGCCAAAACTACTCAGTTTTTGCTTCTATCTTGTTCAACGTTTGGTAGTTACGCTCAGATGTGCTGAGAATGTTACCACATCATCTTTTCAACAATTTCCTTGAAGTTTAAGTGCAAAATTTCTGTTCAGAAAGAGGTAATTCACAGGTTTAAAAATCACATTTTGGTCACGTGACTAGCTACGAACTTACTCATTTTAAGAAAACGGTGCAGGTTTGAAAAACTAAATCACTATTATTTTGTTTAAGATATGACCCACCAATTAATGGTTTTTTGAAGGCAAAATCATATAGCTTTCATTTTCATAAAAATGATGTCAAATGACCTCTTAGTTCAGATGGCCTATAGATTTCAAATACATATTATTATTATTATTATTAATATTATTATTATTATTATTATTATTATTATCATCATCATTTTTGAGTCCATACCCACGTTAACATTCGGGCACGAAGCCCGTTCCCGAGTACAAGATCGAGACCTTGTACTCTGCCACAAAAGTGGGCATCTGGTCCCCAGCCTGTTTGCAAACCTCAGTTCATGTCAGTTCTGGGGCAGTTCCTGCTTAGTGCCCGCTGAAAAACTCATGCTTCAAAATTGTGTCTGACAGGGCGAGATGAAGTAATTATGCAGGGGGGGAACAGGGGGCGGGAGCCCGGGAGAACAGGGGGCAGGAGGGGCAAGGGAGATGGGAGAAGAAAGAAACGAACCCAACAGCGTTTCTTGACTTCCATTTAACGTTTTCCCGAGGCTTATAAAGCAAAATTTTATATGCGAGAAAAGTCAAAAAACGAAAATTCCTATTCGAGATAAAAATAAAAAAAAAAAAGGAGACGGGAGGTGGGAGGTTGTGACTACCCTACCCCTAAAACGATGCAAAGTTCTAAACTTTGTATACAAAATGAGTACCTTTTTGCGTCAAAATGGCATATAAAAGCGTAAGGGGTGGACCTCGGGGCTGAGCCTCCGCCTATAAAAACTCCGCCAACCGAAATGGAGAGCTTCAATGTTTCTTGCAAGCAATGTTATGTAAAGCAATGGTATCATCCTTCTTGATCTGCTTCTGTTATAAAGATATGCCTAGTCAAGATCGGGTATCTCCGCTTTGCATCGGTCTTCATCACATTTGCCTATGACGCACGGCTTATTATTTCCGCGGTTCCTCATTGCCTCTAAACAGATATGCTCCTGGTAGCCAAAAGATGACTGATCAAAACCAATAGAAGACAAACACTGACGCGTGACCTCGTGTGCCAAGTTGACCTCTTGTCTACCAGTCTTTATATCCTTTGTTACGCACACCGGTAAAGGCAAATCTGGAGGACAAGTTTGGTACTTGGTATTCTGATCACACTTCTTTAGGGCTTTTTCCTGAGTTTCTCCATTCCCAAAGCATATAGGACAAGCTTTCACTGTAAACATAATCATAGAAAACGGTAGTGTAGTTTATTTTCTACCTCTTTTAGTAACTTCACTGAGCTGCCCCCACACTGGTTTAAGTCAGTCGCTTTGAAGGGAACGACGATCCAAATGGTGGCGCGTGTTTTTCGAAACCCAGGAAGCGGAGTTCTTTTGCATGGCTTAATCCCTGAGTGGACAGGGAAGAAGCGAATCCTGTGTTCTGATTGACTACCCGAGCTGGCAAGATGGGCCTATCTTGCCCGCTCGGGATTTCCCGCGTTATTTCCGCGAGAAACGTTTTAAAAGTTTTTTTTTTTTCAGTTTTGGCCATATAATCTGATCCTTTTATTGCGCAAGCATATTCAATCATGATGCCTGTATGTTGACCAAGACTTTCTCTCAGTCCGTAAAAATGCGGCAAAGAACTTGGCCAATATCCAGCCATCTTGACCTCAGTAACCCTTGACAGGAGGCGATTAGTAAGAGCCTCCACATGTGCTATAACCTTGAGTCAACCCTTTCCCGTGAAAATGTATTTTTAGATCCACTGATTTCCCGGGAAAATATTTTTCCCGCAGACGTCCGCATAGCAACAGAAAAGAAAAAATGGCGGCCGAGAGAGAAAGCTTTACTAACGGCTCCTACCCTTGATCAATAAGGCAAGTATTTCTGAGGCCCGATCTTCTCTGATTTGTGTGGAAATTCTCTACGCCAGTATACCTTATTGTTTCATGCTAGGCTAAAAACTCTCTGTTATATTCGAGTCCTGGTGGCTATTTAAGAAATTCTACGTTACCACTAGGAGCTCATCATCATGTTACGCGAAACTGCTTTATCAATGAAAAAAAATTGTCGACGATCATTAAATTCTAGTTAACCATTCGCCACTTTAGAAAATTAACTGAAAAGGATCCTGAGCCAGGATAATTTACGCAAAGACTTTTGGGAAAAAATTGCCAATAGCTGATCAGCTCGTCCCCGGTAACGATCCCAGAAGTCTTTGCGGAACTTCACTCGGCACAAGTTTTCTTCTCGATTCTAAATTGGCGAAGTACCGGTCGAAATATCGGGAATACTCAAATCGCTTTGTTCTTCGCTGTTTTGCTATTACATTTTACGTGTCTTTGTTAAAACAGCAAGATTTGGATACCGTCAGTATTACAAAAGTAATTCGACTTTGCAGTCCCTATTTCTCTGTTATCTAGAGTGACAAACGTCTTAGGGAAGTAACTGCCCCACCCTCGGCAGTCGCACGCAATCACTTTTTTTGGTTCTCTCTTTTTTTTACTCATCACTCTAGGCTCCCGCTCTGCGCTCGTTTCCGTCATGCCCGTCTTGCACTTCTTTTCTTCAGCTCTCGGGCTTCTCGCTTATCTACTAAGCCTTCGGGGGAAAGA